CTCTCTCTCTCTCTCTCTCTCTCTCTCTCTCTCTCTCTCTCTCTCTCTCTTGTTACATCACACTTAATGCCGGGTCAATTCGTTCTCTACCCTATTTTCGATAGTGATGGTGGTGAGGATGTAGAAAAGTTGGGGTAAATCCACTGAGTCGCATTAATGAATTCAACCCGCTTTGAGATAACTCATTCAGTATTATGAATGCTCACGTCGATGTAAAAGTTTTTCACAACCGGCGGCTTCCCTCATAAGTCATTGATAATCTTTAAAAATTGATCAAACAAAAGTATTCAAAATTCAATTCAAATGCGTATTATAAGGCATTAATATTAAGCCTTAGTAGCACTTAGTATTAACCAGGATTCGTTAATGGAATGCAGCTGGCATGAAACTTACGAATGCCCCTACATCTTTGTTTGGTTGCAATTGGCATTGAATGTTATTGTTGTCATCAAGATGATATGTCTGCGGATGAGCTGTCACGTAACATTCCTTCTCCGTCATCACAGTCACATTCATAAGAACCAACAATATATTTATGATGAAAACTTGTAAGTTGATTGAATAAAATCAACTGAAGAACATCAGTTGACTTCTGTATAAACGCATACCATAAGGAATTTAGTTATTAGACGGTTAAGCTTAAAGTTACGAAAAGAGTTTAATCATGACAAATTTTCGGTATGAATCGTGCGTGTGAAGGATTGAACGTTACCCCGTTCTTCGATGGGTTACTTCTCCATGCGACATCTGGGTACTGTTCGGCAATGCCCTTATGGTGTATGTGTCATCTTCTATTGAAAAGTCCTCATTGATGTCTGACCCTTATCATCATTTCGCTTCCTTATCACCATTTTATATCGATAAAAATCGATTTGAAATTTTATAATAGAGATAATGCGTCTATATTCTCATTGATTACAGGAACAGGGAGATTTGAAGTAATCGAAGGTGGCGTAGCAGTGGTCATTGGAGTTGTGCGTTCTACAGTAGATGCCCAATCGGAGCAACTGAAAATACCCATTCCAAATGAAGATCAACCTGAAGAGCTGGAAACTAAGGACGTATACAAGGAGTTCAGATTACGTGGATACCAGTACTCTGGACTATTCAGAGCTATTAAGAGTGCCACGTTGGATGGTACCAAAGGGACAATCCGTTGGAATAGCAACTGGGTGGCGTTCATGGACAACATGCTACAGATGATGCTTCTGGGGCTCGACACAAGAAATCTGCTGGTGCCTACGAAAATTCAGAAACTCGTGATTGATACGAAGGAACATTCTCGACAGATTCGATCGATGCCATACGATGAACAAGGTAAAATACGTATTCAAAAAAATCAGTAAAAAATTATGTTCTTCCGCTTATTCTATTGGAAAATGCCTTTTTTTTTGCAATTTCCATTGAAAACTCAACGCCTTCTTCGAAATATATAATGAAATATCCAACTGCGTCAAATTAATATGTTTCCATAATTTTTTCTATCGGAAAAATTCTCAACTGAATAATTCATACTAAAGAAAACAAAACGTATTGATTTTTTCCTATTGAATATTCTATTATTAAATTATTCTGTGAAAAAAAGAAGGAACATCCGGGGAATTTAAAAGAGTAATAGAAGGAAGAAATTAGAATTTCAAATAGGATTCCCGAACGACAACAACGATAGATTTTTTATTAAATTTTTCCCACGTAAGAAATCATGAAAGTGATGATCCAAATCTTCCAGTGTTATAAATATCACTTTTTGAATTGTTGAATAGAACTGAAAGTCCATGTGAACAGAAAACACGACATTATCACTTCTGGAGGAATTCAAATACGCGGGTTACAAGCAAGTTCAATATCTCGGAGGAAACCACCAGGTGAACCAGTCTTGGAGACCTATAGTTTCATTCCTCACAGAGATTTGGAATCAAAAATTTCTCTGAGAGAAGCGATTCGTTTGGCGGTACATCTCTCTTTAGAGAATCACCCCAACATCAAAGTCAAGACCTTAGAGCTACTGGAGGCAGGAGAGAAATATCATTCTGAAGAGCTTTTCTCTGTTCATATAGCAGAAACTCTGGCAGATCTCCCCATGATCCAATCAGACGTGAATATAGTCACAGCAGAGAATCTCTTTGAGACAGCACTACCCCAAAACATCAATATTATAGAGGCCAAAAAATTAACATCAGAAACCAACGCTCTGCTCTTAGCTGGTCGCGATCTCCTGCTACCTCAAAAAAATGCCACTTTGATTCACTACCTCTCAACCCTAAGAGATGGTACCTTCATCCTCGCACTCGAGTCCTCATCGCCAGAAAACATCAGGTTAACATCGAAGAAACACGGTCTGCATATGATTTTCGAAAGAATCGTTGATAGGTGCAGGTTCATTCTCCTTCGGAAAATCGATAAAATCCCCAGGGATATTATCATCATTCAGGTTAACAATGAAGAGTTCTCTTGGCTTGACAAGTTGAAAACAGCCGTGAAGGCAGAAACTGAGCATGAGATGTCAGGATCGTCTAGAATTCTGCTGGTAGGAGATAAAACGTTTGAGAATGGTCTTTTGGGTCTCGTCAACTGTCTTCGAAGGGAGCCTGGTGGAGGACTAGTCCGAGCAGTATTGATTCAGGACTCAAAGGCGCCAGGCTTCTCACTCTCAGAGTCTTTGTATGCTGACCAAATGAAGCTAGATCTTGCAGTCAATGTTCTGAGACCAGGAGACATTTGGGGATCATACAGACATCTTCCCCTTCTAGCTCCTACACCACGTCTCCTCCACCATGTATGGGCGAATCAGCTCATAAAAGGTGACCTCAGTTCATTTCGATGGATGGAAGGACCAATCAGACCAAACTTCGTAGATTCTGATCTCATTAAAGTCGTCTATTCACCGATTAACTTTAAGGACGTCATGATAGCTACTGGGAAACTGAATGCTGATGTTTTTGTGAAGACTAGGAGTGCAGCAGAGTGTCTTCTCGGATTTGAGTATGCTGGGATAACGACTAGTGGTTCCAGGGTCATGGGTATCATTAATTCTTATGCTATGACTAATCTATTGATTCATGATCCGAATCTCACCTGGCCTGTGCCTGATTCTTGGACTCTGGAGGAGGCAGCCACTGTTCCATGTGTGTATGCTACTTGTTGCTATTCTCTATTCCTCCGTGGAAAGATGAAGAAGGGAGATAGGGTTCTCATTCATGCTGGATCTGGTGGTGTTGGACAAGCAGCTATTCATCTTGCAATTTCTACTGGATGTGAAATCTTTACGACTGTTGGTACTGCGGAAAAGCGAACATTCATCCGGAAAACCTTCCCCCAGATTCCTGAAGATCGCATTGGTAATTCTAGAGACACTAGTTTTGAGCAAATGGTGATGACTCAAACGAATGGGGTAGGTGTTGATATTGTTCTCAATTCGCTTGCTGAAGATAAGCTCCAGGCTTCGGTTAGATGTCTAGCTGAAGGGGGAAAGTTTTTGGAGATTGGAAAGTTTGATATGGCCAATAATACTCCTATAGGAATTTCTGCTTTCATGAAGGGGATTAGTTTCTATGGGATATTGGTAGACAAGGTATTTGAGGCTCCTGTAGAGAAGAGGGAAGAACTTCATCAACTCATGCAAAAAATACTGGATGAGGGTGCCATTAAACCATTCAATGCTACCGTTTTCCCGAGGAATCAAATCGAACTTGCTTTTAGGTATATGGCTGCTGGGAAACACATTGGAAAGGTACGTAAAAAATACAAGCAAGGTGTCGAGCCTATTCGGCAGCAGCCATGTTAGCGGTACTTTATGAGTTATTAGTCTTTTTTCTATCTCCCACTACCAATTCCATTGGTAATAAACTTCCAAATAGATCTCTACCAACGGTTAGAGGACAATTGTTCCCCTGAAAATTGTTCCTCGGAAAAATGTTTTTCATTTTTTATTTTTTCACGCCAATTCCCATTTTCATTGTTATTTCATCAAATATTCTATACTATAAAATAGAAAAGAACATAAATTTTTATTATAGTACTTTTCAAGTCATTCTGGGAGCTCATTCTCGAGTTGTGTAAAGACAGATTCGTCGGTGAATGCTCCTCCGTTCACGAATCTCGAGTAGGATTACCATGGGCAAGCTGTAAACGAAACCTCACCATCGTAAATGACGATGTGTGACTTTTAGAAAAACAAATTTTTGGATGAATTGCCCTATAAAAGGATGTATTGAATCGATGAACACAAAATTTTATACACAAGTGTCACTCAATAATACTAATTAGTAGCCAGAACCTGAGATGATTATTAGAAGTTTTGTGCATAGTATGGAAGAACACATTAACTGTCCATTGCAAAAATTAGAAAAACGCGAATATTTCGAAAATTTGGTATGCACGAATATTCATGTTTTGATTGATCTTGATATAGGGCGACCAGACGAATATTTTGCGAAAAAAATTAAATTAGTTGGACCAGTTTGGGAGATATTGAACAAAACCGTGTTTCACAAAAAGTTATTTTATTAATCTTCTAAACCACTTGTCCGATTTCGCACCGACAATCCCATTCTGTAATATCATACGCGCTACAATATCACCAAATGTCAATATTTAAATTTTTTCGGGTTATCGTGCATAGAACGATTTCCTCATAAAAACGAAAAATGCCGATTATTACTAAACTCGTCCCAGTTACATAGCAATATTGAGATTTCATTTCATAGATATTATTACAAGGAATATTTTGACGTTAAAAATTAAATTCAGAAACGTAGTTTTCTAGATAATGAGGAAAAAAAGATTTTTGAGAAATTGTTGTATTTCGGAAACTACTTGCCGACTAAGCTGAAATTGCACCCAGAAGTGCTTCAAAGTAATACCAATTATGTGACGAAATGGCAGATTTTTAGCTTCAACTTTGGTTCTTTTTGCTTCCGAAGGGAAGCATTATTTTTGGTCGATTTTTCGATTTTCTAATTTTCATTGCAAATGATCTAGAATGTCATGAAACGTGAAAAAATGATGTTTTTGAGGTTGCGTCTGTACGTATGTATGTGCAGAATGGCTGTTTTGGGGGTTTATTTTTAGAAATTTTAACATAAATACGGTGAAATTCGCAGATAAAAACTTGAAATTTTTACTGATGATAGCTATGAATAAGCCCCACTTTGTGGCTCCATTTGGGCTCAATCGGTCCAGTAGTTCCTGAGATATTGCCAATTGTTTAAATTTCGTTTTTCAGCTATATCTCCTCAATAAATGCACCGATTTCAACTTTTTTTTTTCAAAATATTCGTCTCGATGATCTCTACCTGAATCATTCATAATACATAGACCAATCACTGCTGAGTCTAGGAATATTGCCGTTAATCGGTTTTTTTGTGAAAAACGTTGTGCGCGCGATAACTCGATAAAAAATGTTAATATCGATTTGAAATTTGGTATGCTTGTAGCTTTTATGACATAGATGGATGGTATTTTGAATGGGCAAAATCGACCGAGCGGTTCGCGAGATATTCAATTTTTTGTAGAAATCCATTTTGGCAAATATCTCCTTAACTATTCGAGGGATTAAATTTTTTTTTTTTTTGAAATACTCGTCCCAATGACCTCCATCTGAAGCACCCATAATATATCGAACAATCGCTGTTGAGTCTAGAGATATTGCCGTTAATCTGTTTTTTTGCGAAAAACGTTGTGCGCGCGATAACTCGATAAAAAAGGTTGTTGTTGACTTGAAATTTGGTATGTTCGTAGCTTTCATGACATAGACGAATGGTATTTTGAATGGGCAAAATCGACCGAGCGGTTCGCGAGATATTCAATTTTTTGTGGAAACCCATTTTGGCCAATAACTCCTTTACTTCTCGAGGGATTAAATTTTTTTTTTTTTTAAATACTTGTCTCGATGACCTCCATCCAAAGCTCCAAAATGATAACATGAGATAGTATTTTTACAACGATAATTTTTTATAGATTGACAGGCATGGTGTTTGCCAATATTGGAGTGCAGAATATTAATGGGACAAGATTTTATGCTTTAGTCCTTTTCAACGGATATTTCGGAACAAGATCGAAATTAGTGAAAATATTAATTTACGACGAAGATGTAATTGAGCTTCTTACGAATCGATTCCCGAGGGATGAAGTTAGTTAGATAATTGTTTTGAGTATTTGATTGAAAGAAAAAAACATATGTCTTATCGAACTATAATTTGATTTCAATAGTTGATCCAAATTCGGAACGCTATTCCATATGAAAGAAGAAAAGTTGCACTATGGAATACCATCTGGAATGAGAATGATTTTTTTGAATTCGAATGGGACGTGTATTCATCAGCACAGATCAGTCTGTTTTGGAAAATACGAATGAAATCGAGAGAAATAATTGAATCGGAGTAAAACCACATAATTTTACATATGAAATTTTTAAGAGGACGAAATGATTTTATATACTACGGTTGAAATAATAAAAATAAAAAATAGACGATGCACTTCTTCCCTTCGGAAGCTTATAACCAATGTAATTGGTAGCAGAAAAATGAAGACTTTTGACATAACAGTGTGGTGTCACAAGTCTTCTGTCGAATAGGGTCGGTCGCCTGCTTGTTTTGTGAAGTTTTATCAAAATTGTTTCCGAAAAATTCTTCCAGACATCTGGACGTATATACATTCATTTTCTAAAAACATCAGATCTTCACGTTTCATAATATTCTACATCATTTCCATGCAAAATTGGAAGATCGTCAAAATCAAAGATTATAAAGCTTATTCCATTCGGAAGAAAAATACTCATTACTAAGGAAATTGAAGTAAACGACAATCTTTTAATTTCCAGGTGGTCCTCAAAATTCAAGATGAAATTAATCTAGGAGAGAAAATCTCAGCCTTTCCACGATACTATTGTCGGAAAGACCATTCCTATATCATTCTGGGGGGTCTCGGTGGTTTCGGTCTGGAGTTAGCCGATTGGCTGATATTCCGTGGTGCTAAATACTTGGTCCTAACATCTCGTTCAGGTATCAAAAGTGGGTACCAACGAATACGAATTAAGCTGTGGAAGAATTACGGTGTTAAAGTCACTATTATCACTGGGAAGGAGGCTTCAAATAAAAAGGATTGCGAAGAGATCCTTTCGATAGCATCGAAACAGGCTCCAGTAGATGCAATCTATAATCTCGCAGTTATTCTTAAAGATAGTCTTTTGGAGAATCAAACAGTAAATTCATTTGAAGAGTCCTTCAAGGCCAAGGCTTGGAGTACAAGGAATCTTGATCAATTTTCTAGAATATTGTGTCCAGAACTTCGACATTTTGTCGTCTTCTCTTCAGTATCCTGTGGGCGTGGGAATGTAGGGCAAACAAACTATGGTATGTCCAACTCAGTTATGGAGAGAATCTGTGAGAGACGAGCTGCTGAGGGCCTTCCAGCACTTGCAATCCAGTGGGGAGCTATTGGGGACGTCGGTCTCGTTGCAGATATGCAGGATAACGATAAAGACCTTGTGATTGGAGGCACCCTTCAGCAGAGGATAACATCCTGTCTTCATGAACTTGATGGTTTCCTCAATCAGAGTTCTCCAATCGTTGCAAGCATGGTGGTTGCTGAAAAGAGAGCTGGTAATACTGGTGCTCTTAATGTCGTTGATACTGTACTTAATATCATGGGTCTCAAGGACCTGAAGGCGGTTGGCCATCATACATCATTAGCTGAACTTGGGATGGACTCTATGATGACTGTGGAGATCAAGCAAACATTGGAGCGTGAGTTTGAGATTTTCTTAACTGCGCAGGATATTCGTGGCCTGAATTTTTCCAAATTGATAAGCATGAACTCGATGGATAGCGAGCTGAAAAAAGCGACTACGGAAGTGACAGAGGAAAAGACACTCATGGGGATGAAGTTCCTTATTAGACTGCTTGGAGATGAAGAAGGAATGAAAGAAACTTGTCTAAAGTTGCCTACGAAACAAGAGAGTGGAGGGCAGAAGGTATTCTTCATTCCAGGACTTGAAGGTTGCGGCGCTGTATTCATGAATCTTGCTGGGAACATTATGGCTCCTGCTACTTGTTTACAATTGAATAATATGGGCACAGAGTATCGTTCAATTTCAGATATGGCAGAACAATTGTTGCCTGTGAGTCCTGAATTTCACTCAAAAATCTATCATTTCGAAAAACCTAAAAAAAATTAGTAACTTTATTCAACCTGATATTTTCAGTACATCTTGAAGAAAAACCGAGGGAGAAAACACTTTGTTATTGTTGGATACTCGTATGGATCACTTGTTGCCATTGAATTGATGAGAAAATTGGAGGCCAGAAGTTGCTGTGGCAAAATAATCCTCATTGATGGTGCTCCACTTTACATGAAAGCCATCAAAGATCAGCAATTACTGGCAGAGAACAGTGATGCGCTCCAGACAAATGTTCTCGTCGGCATGGCTGATACCGCTCTGCCCGAGGTCAGTAGAGGATTGTTGATGGATCTCAAGAAGTGTAAATCTTGGGAACAAAAATTGGATGTCTTCATGGCACGTGCACCAGCTGACACTCTGGGAATTTCAGCTGAGCAACAAAGAAAAATTTGTACCTGCATTTATAATCGATTACTGGCACTTGATAATTACGATATTTCTAGTCTTCCCTGTTTGAGATCTCCAATCACTCTTCTGAAACCGACTCATGAGACTTTGAAGAATTTACCTGCAGATTATGGCCTCAGAAAGGTAACTTCATTGATAATTTATTATCAGAAATTTATATAGGATGTCCCAGAATTTGAGGAGAATACACAAAGAAAAACAATCACATGAAAAGTTGCTGCACAATTTAACGGCAATCGGAGAGTGAAATTGTATTTCAGGAATTTTTTATTTACAATCAAGAATAGAATATGAAGCAAAGGATAAGTTTCCTCCTTTCTAATGAATTTTGTTTGCAAACAAACTAAAATTTGTAAGTTTTTGATGGTAAAGTCTGAAACAGACGGACACATTCTACCATTTTTTCTGCAAATTTTCACGGCACAGCGATCAATAATTTTTACCTCATAACTTTTTGCTGATTATTTTCTATGGGTTATTTTGAGCAGAATTATCATTTTAAGCGTCGATGCAATCAATTTATATTTCTTCATCTTTCATAACAAAGGACCTTCATACCTCGGTCTTAAATATACAGCGATCTATGATTTCTCTATCAGGGAAAAGCGACTTCGGCTTTCACCTGCAATTTCGGAAGTAAATTTTTTTTCGTCTTTTCGTCTCCATCCCCGCCCACGCTGCCCCCTCCCCCGAGTTACCCACCGAATTTTTTCCTTGAGTTGTGAAACACTCTGTATAGGATGCTTGTTAATTGGTTGAATTAATATTGTTCAGGTAACCAGCGGGAATTTGCAGTGTCACACTCTAGATGGAAATCATGTGACAATACTTGATAACCCAGAGGTAACATCCATTATAAATGAGGAACGAGCTGAGTATATAATGCCAATCAAAGCTAGCATCATTGAAAATGGAGTGATCCTCAACCCGGCCTACGATGCAAATTGTAACAAAACGGCTAGTTGAATGAAGTGGAATATTCCTTTGATCTGTATTAATTCATGACAACATAAATATTTTCAGGTTCGTGGCATGAAAAATTCAATAGAAAAACCTAGCGCATTTACTAGGAAATTCTATTGGACTTTTATAAAAAAATTCCATCAATTTTCTAGAAAATATCAAGACATTGAAAAGACGCATAAAAAATTGCGAAGTTTCTCAAAGAACTAGTAGAAATTCAACAGAATTTTCCGTACGTGATAACGTTTTTAGAATTGAAAAGTATTCACTAGTGTAAACATATTTTACACGAGTAAATAACTTAGTCATTGATAACATGCCTTCTCTTTGTAAATTAATAAGTCAGAACGTACGCAGGTTATTAATGATTTATTTTTCCTTTTGAACATTCACCAGCCTAGTAGACTGAAAAATAAAGGAATATATAAAATAAATAATAGAAATTCGAAACTACACTCATACTGCCAGAGAGAAATCACCAGGCGTATCACTATGAATGTAGCAGGCGTATCACTATTTATAAATGTAGCATACACTGAGAAAAAAAATCTCATATCTGAAACATATTTACTTCAGACAAGTAATTTTTTTTTTAATCGCTTAATTCTCCTAAGCATCTCAACTCACGTGACACAAGCAAGGATCGACGTATGCCTTAAAATATTCTTGTACTCCAGTATGATTTTATCGCAAATGAACTCATTCAAATCGCGTAGGAAAATCGTCAATCTTCAAGTATTTATTTTTTTCATGATTTTTTAAATGCATTTCCAATGTTGTAACATATAATATATTCATCGTCTAACGCGAAACGATAGTGATAAATGAGAATTTATTCGAGTTCCGTGGAGCGCAAACATTCTAACATTTAAGCCATTGAAAATCTTTTGCTTCTTCCAAGTAAATATGGTCTAGGGGAGAGTCGGGCAAAATGGGACGTTTCGTAATCTTTTCTAAACATCAATAGAAATAAACCTTTGAGATGTTTTTGTATTATACATCTCAACACGTCCCATTGCGCCCGACTCTCCCCTATATAACAGGAAATTTTTCCCTCGGTCTTTGCTTTTTCAGGTAAAAATCAAATTCTTTAGATACGAAGAATATACAATCGACGTGGAATAGCTCCATTCCATAAAAGCCATTCATCATTATATTGAGAATTATTATTTGACCGACTGTAACTATTCGTCAATTCAAGCATTTACTGTCGGATTCAAAATTTAAGGCTACTCTTTGAAAGACGATAACTGGTTAAAAAAAAATCTCCGAGAATGGAACCAAAAAGTTCTCGGAAGCATAACTATCTAGAAATCATTCCAGAGAAAACAAAATTTTTTCGAGAAATTAATTTTCATAAACAGAATGAAAATAAGTGAAAGGGGTTAAAACTAGGTGGTAGAAGGCACCGCAAAGTTTATAATGACTGCTACTAACAATAGGCAAGTGATGTTTGCATGTAAAAATAGGGAAAAATTCAATTATCGAAATTCAATACTTCTCGTTATTAAAGAAAAATCAGAAGGATTATTATTAGTTTTTCTTCTCTTACCGGAAAATCAAAGGGACCGCTCGGTGAGAAGCATTCATCGCTGTGGGCTTCAGTACCCTTTTTTGGCATGGAGGACGCTGCACCCAGTTTTCCGCGACACACGTACGCAGTCCTCCTTCATAGTTATACTTTCGAAAAGCTTTTGGTTCAATTCTCGGAGATTTTTTTAAAAAGAATTATCGACAATTTTGAATTCGACAGTAGGTCGAGCGCCTGGCGCAGTGAGTAAGATCGTTACCTCACGTGCGCAAGGTCCGAGTTCAAATCCCGGTCGGGTAGAATCGTGAGATCTGACCATTCAAAGGGTTGATCATCGTCGTAATATACTTAACCGAGTCGAAGCGATGTAAAATAACAATAAAAAATTCAAGCATTCACATCCTGAAAATATACATTGTTCTATCGCGAATCAAGTTCATAATCCCTTTTGCTACACTGTTTTGAACGGTTAAGAAATAGTAATCGTGTATTTCGACAAATAACCAATAAAAAATATTTTTCTCACGGTTCCTTAATTTTCGAATCAACGAACAACAAATGGAAATTTTAAATGCATGGGGCTTTGACTTTGAAAGTTCACAGGAGTTTGTATTCGAATAATCTGTTGACGATCAGTGAAAAGCGATTTTTAACTCAAATAGGATTCCCGTCCAGAATCAGAACTCAGCCATAAAGGACTATGGGTGAAGTGTCAATTAAATTTTGTGTTTCACAGTTTCTCAAATATTGACGCTCTTTTTTAAAAAGCTGGTCTGTCTATACAAAATAAAATGAGGATTTTTGAGAGATTTGTATTTAACTATTTATGTTTGTTCTATCTGCGATAAATTTGAAACTATGCAGTGACTTTGGATAGCCCGATGAGTGATTGATTCCCGTTATACTAGGCTTCTTACTAAATTACTCCGACTTAGATGGTGTTATTGCGGGGAACCATAAAATGTTTAATAAGATATAAAATTTTGTTAATTTTCTTTTATTATCATCTTCTTCCTTGCTCTCATCATCAGACTTCATCATGATAGTCTGTATGTTCGTTTTTCTTGATGATTTCTGTTTGTTAGTCCCTCCTACGATTCCTTCCACGCCCTTATCTATTGGTCTTAAAAATTCCTCCAACTTCTCTTTTCTTGACATTTTCTGTACATTCTTACTTTTTTGCTCTTTAGCCTTGACCCTTTCTTCATGATCTAACTGCGCTGTTTCTTCAGGTTTCTTCTGTGGCTTTCCCTTTAAACTATCTTTTGCCGCAGGAACTAATGACTTTGTTATGTTTATAGCCCTTTCTCTTTTAGTTGGTTTTTCAGTTTTTTTGTATTTTTCTCAGGTAGATTCCTGATTTTTCTCCCCCGTACGGTATTATCTACTTTGTCCTTTTCCAGCACCATCGTTACAACATGATTATCGTTAGGTTTTTCACCTCCTTTCCATCCCCGGTTCCACTCACTTCTTCATCCCCATCATCTTTATTGTCATTATATCGACCGACAGCATCTTCATTTATCAAGAGGGTATTTTTAGAGTTTGTGTATTTTCTGGTACTCATCAGGCATGGCTCATCCAATAGGATTTTATCCAGATTACAGATATTTCAAAAAACATTGATTCGCCTAATTATTCTCACTGTCACCTAGAGAAGCTGTTTGATTCATTTTCGCTTTAATATCAGTCAATATATAGAATTCTCGTGTCAGCCTTACCACACTGCTCTAGAATTGCGTTTACTGGCCAATATTTTCATTCTCAACTCGCATCATCTCCTCTGCTTCATCGGTTCGTAAGTCCCTCGTTGGTATTACATCTATTTGTTTATTCTTACAGAAGACCACCAACCATTCCCGTTCTCCAATATCATCGGCCATGGCAGATAGTATTTTTCATTACTATAGCCCGAAACAAAGTTTTCTGGCAAATATGAGTCGAGCCGAAGGCGATGGCTGAAATCATATGAGCTAGAATAGTATATTTCGATACTCATGGAAAAAGTGGTTTTTTGCCTTCTCTCACCTTCGGCTCATGCTCGTTACCTCCAAATCTACTCAATGTTTACCCACTTCAATTTGGCCCACTTCAAATCTAACCACTTCAATTTCGCCTACTTCAAACATAACCATTTGAATCCTGCCCAGTTCCACTCTTACCACTTCAATGTTACCCGCTTCAATTTTCACCACTTTATGGCTGTCCACTTCAATGCTCACCACTTAATTTTACTCACTTTAACTCTTTATCCATTTCAATTTTTACCCCTTTCATTTTTGCTCAGTTCAATTTTTATCCACCTCAAACTTTACCCACTTCAAACTTTTCCGACTTTGAACTTTCCCGACTGTAAATTTTCCCTACTTCAAACTTTCCCGACTTCAAAATTTTCCACACTTCAAATCTCCTCCATTTCAATTTTTTCTCCACTTCGACTCTCCCCGCTTCTATCTCGCCCACTTCAAGTCCACCCACTCCAATTTCCCCTACTTCGACTTCACCCACTTCAAATTCGCTCGCTTCAAATTATTTCACTTCAGATTAATCTGCTTCAATTTCACTCATCTCAGGATTCGCACACTTTAAAATAACCCCCTTCAAAATACGTCCATTTCAACTTGATTTTACTTCAAATTTTTCCTACTTCGAATACCTCCTCACATTGAATTCTCCTTACTTCAATTTCTTCCCACCTTAAATTTTTCCCACTTCAAATTTCCCCACTTCCCTAGTTTTCCGAACTTCGAAATTTTTCCCACTTTCCTAGTATTCCCAACTTCGAAATTTTCCCCACTTCAAAACTATACAACTTTGAACAACTTTTGAAACATCAAAATCTTCCGACTTTGAAATCTACCAGCTGCAAAATCTTCCGACTTGAAAATTTCCCAGCTTCAGAATCTCTTAATTTTCAAATCTCTCAACTTCAAAATCTTTTGACTTTAAAATCTCAATTTCAAAATCTCGTAACTTCAAAACCTCTCAACTTCAGATTTTTGATCGACTATCCTTCTTTCGTGTAAGTCAGATTTACTCACTATTTAGGAGGTGGAGTGGGGATGAGCAATTCTTACGGGAAGGGCCTGAGTGGTAGAAATGTCTTTCACGAAAGAAGATTAATAAGTGACGCATTGGACACTGAAGCAGTTAATGATTCAGTCTCAACGCCAATTTAATTTATTTTGTCAATGATTGGTTTGAACATGGACAAAAATCTCTGGTTCGAATTAAAATTTAATGGGGTTTCTGAAGCTCTGCGAATCTCTCTGTCTCAGTTCTCCCTTTTCGAAACTCATAACGCTTGAATTTAAAATGTATCACGAGTTTGCAGTAGGACTTTCAGCGGGATCTTGAATATAAGTTTGAGTTGAAAAATCCTGCTGGAAGTCCTGCGGAAGCTCTTGCATGCTGCTCAATCTCTTGTTGAAAGTCCGAAATGGAATCTTGCTCAAGGATTAGCTGGAACCCCTTCTGGAACTCTTGCTTATACCATTGCTGGTCCTTGCTGAGAATCAAGACATGAATCCATAGCTCAACATGAAATTCTACCCTAATCAATGTATGGCCCTTGGTCAGTCTTCATTTTTGAGATTTCTCGTCCATTATCTACCACATTGAAACTCATAGCCGACTTCTATTCAATTTTTTTATCGCAAGGAAAAAAAATGGGAGTCCAAACTTTATATCTTCGAAATTACTCAGCTTGAAAATTTTCCAACTTCAGAATTTATAACTTAAATAGTGAACTACTCCGAAACTTGATATCTTTGGAAGTT